TTTGCATCCAGAGATGGTATTATTATTATTATTATTATTATTATAGGGAGATACGAGGGTCCGTGACTCCGTTGGAAAACACGTAACGGCTAACTTGGATCACGTGTACCTTGATAACCAATCACATTACAGCCTTGACGTCACTATTCCTAGTTGTGCAACACTCAATCACTGTTTGCGGATAATTTTGAAATGAATGAGAAGTGCCATAAACTGAATCGTACCGGTCGCACAGTTGTTCAAGACGTCTCTTATAAAACAGCACTTTTTCGGTGTAAACTCTAAAAATAGATCAATCCAAAATGAATGTTTAAGAGCAAACATGTTGAAGAGCCGATGGGCTGTCGATTCGTTAAATGATAAGCTATTTTCTCATTTAAAAAAACCTCTTGTCTCCTTCCCTGCGTACCAGAGTTAACAGGCGTTATGCTTTTTTCTGTTGCAGGCTTGCCTTCAAGATAATAATCTATCATTAGGAACTTTTACTAAAAACTTAAGGCGTTTCTCATTACCAAGTACTGCAAGTTTGGTCTTGCATCCTTGATAGTTTGGGCTTGGCAAGATAGACTCGCGCGAGGGGGAGGGGAGATGGTACGAACGTTTGATTGACGCACTTACTGTCCAATGATTCTAGGTGTTCTTGGAAATGATTGGCTGTTTGGAGTTTTTTCGAGTCCTGCCCGTTCCACAGATGATTAAATTGCTTAATTTTCATTTCAGTGCTTCTAACTCAGTGGCTGCAAGTGGGTTAGGAATAGGATTACAAGTGATTTTGAAAAAATGGTCAAAAAAAGAAAATCACATACCCCACCTTTAATATTACAGTGAACAGAACTCACAAAACCTAACAAACTTGGTGCAATGCGTCTTGAGGCATCAAATGTGATGTGCGCATATTCAAAAAGTGTCTGACATAAAGGAATCTGTTGGGCTATCAGTATAACAGCACAGCTTCTGCACGCGTGTGTCAACTCTCCTGTTATCACCTCTAAAATCCCAGAAAACACATCACGTTCTCTCATTACTTCTCTTTCTATGACCTCTTTTATACTGTCCCCTGCCAAATAGATAATATCAGTAATTACACTCAGTCGGGAGGTAGTGAGGCGTCACTTCGACAAGTTAGTTCAATTTATGACTGTTTGGATTCTAACAACTCAATAAGCTGTAAAAGAGGGACATATTAACACTACCTAAAGAAAAGACACACTGGCTTTCAGTCAATTACTGTAATTACTATAGATTTACTGTACTTCTCCCAAACAATGTATTGCTACACTACAAGTGCACCAATGTATCTTCTTTGCTTTAAAGTTCATACTGTGAAATTAAGCTTTAATGGTGTTCGCAATTCTGCATGAGCACTATGACAATAAAAGTAGAAAAATGGCAAAGCTAATATAATATACCAATTTTATTGGTAAGCAATGGCTGTTGGAGAACAAGAGACAAAAACAGAAAGTGTTAATGAACCTCGTTTAAAAGAAAAACTGCTTTTCCAAAAAGAAAAAGAAAAAAAAGCTAGAGACAGTGACTTGGCAGCGATGGGCGTCCTGGATTTATGAGACAGACAGATTATCTACATCCCAGAGTAAAATGGCCAGACTTCAGATTTATAGAGTGACAGGTTAACTGCTTTGACCCTGGTAAAACAGGAGAGAGCGGGAACAAGAGGAGTGAATTAAAGTAATATTGTTTTCAGCACACAGGCTTTATCTGTCAATCCTCCCATAGACGGACACCTTTTCTGGGTGGCAGAAGGATAAACAGGAGAACCACTTCCTGTGCCGAGACATAAACATCTCAAGCAAGAACGTCCCTTTCCCGCCGGAAACATCATATCAACATATCACACACACAATATACAATACATACAACATATCACACACACAATATACAATACATACAACATATCACACACACAATATACAATACATACATAAGTTCTAAACCAACTAAATTACACACTGCCCATTGTGCAACCCACTATAATAAAGTTTTTTTTTTTAAATAACAAACACCAAATTTAATAGATGAAGCTGCGAAAACACGAGTAAAACAAACGATTATCAGTTTAAACTAAAGGTTGGACTCGATATAGTGTTCCTTACAACTTATCAAAGACCCAGTGATCCATGGATATTGACATGCAGCAGGAATCGTGTTTCCTGACATCATTTATATGTGCCGGATTTCGATGCCGGGGAAATACATAAAGCAAATTTGCCTGTGAACGCTTTATATAAATACAATATAGGTAGGTCTGAATCCATGTGATCACTTACATCAATGTTATACATATCGTCATATCGTCCAGCCTTAAAACTTGAATCGTTTTTTTGTAAAAACTATTTAATTAAAACTATTTAATTGGTGAGTTGTCAATACAATATACAACAATACAATATATAAGGTATGATTTTACCCCTAAATTCAGCATATTGACACCAAATGATATCTGTAAATCCAGCTTTCTCTGCCTGGATCCAGTTGTTTCTATGAATTGCAGCGATCTATCTGCTTCTCTGTTCTGTAGCTTTCGGCAGTCTGTAAAAATATACCTCAGATTTCTTGTCAAATCTAGTTGTACAGTCACTCGCAAAGCTCTTTCCCGTTTTAGATGCGTTTTGTGTGTTTTTCGCGGAATTCACGCTGAAAACAAATGCTGTCGCTCAGTCTTTTTCCCACTCTATTTATAACCTCTATAATGGTTTTTTTTTTTTTTTTTTTTTTTTTTTAAGTGTATGGAATTCAAACAGTATGCAGTTTTTCATTCATAAATGCAAGAGGCTATAGGTAGTGGAATGAAAAAAGTAATGCAAGGTGGTCTGGAGATGCTTTTTAAAAAACCTGAACTTCTATTAACTATGGCCGTTTTTACACCTGAAAGTCCGCACCAAGGTCCGAACCAAAGTTCACATTTTGATACATTTTATACTTTCAGAAAGTTTTGGTTTGGTTTCACACTGCAATTATGCGAGCGCACTAAAGATCTTTACGTGACATATGTGTGTCCTGTCGTCATCATCTACGTATGTGGGCTGCATCTTGACATTGATTGGTTTGTAAATGGACGTGCGTCTGACGTCAGCGTGTTGTCAATTCGCCGGGTAACTTTGACAACATGAATGAACAGACGCATATCGTTGCAACTATATAGTTATTTTTATGGCATAATTACCTGCAGCACCAACTATACACAAGGCTAGTTCAAATTCGCCAAATGAACGTCCTCATCGTGCGAACATTTTATCGAGGGGAAGACTGCAAGTTGACTTCTTATTATGTCATCAGACCACACTTCGATTAAAAACCTCGTCTCCTCCTCTCCCCATGTGACACGGCTCATTTTTCCTGCCACCTTCTGTTTTTCGGCTATGCGGGAACCACCGGAACTTCCTGTAAAAGGTCTGAAAGTCAGAACCATACAGAAATGCTTTCACACTAGAAACGAACCAAACCTTTGTTCAGTTTGATTCCGGACCGAGACTACCTCTTTTCGTCAGACCAAATTTCATCTGTTTGGTCCGGACCGAGACTACCTCTTTTCGTCGGACCAAATTTCATCTGTTTGGTCCAGGGTAGCTTTCACACCTGTAATTTTGATTCGGACCAAACTGAAAAGTCCGAAAGTCCGGACCAAACAAGGTAGGTGTGAAAGGGCCCTTATACTTAGAAGGCTGTGTCAAGCTTGAGATGCTGCAAAACACATGAGCGCAACAGATGAACTTGAGCAAAAACGTGTTCTGTGTGAAGTATAATGTCCATACTCCCAAAACTGATGAGTCACTGGTGAGCTTTTGTACTTTGTACTGATAATTTCATACACCATCAATCATACATGTAATAATCATCCACCGTCGGTGTATGAATGAGTGAATGAATGGGTGAATGTGAGGCAATATGTAAAGCGCTTTGGTGGCCATGGGTCTGTTGAAAGCGCTATTTAAATGCAGTCCATTTACCATTTTTACCATAATTTGTGATCTTGCATACAAGCACTTTTTTTTTTGATTATTTGCCGGTCGGTTTGTAATGCCAATTGAGTGAAGCGACAAAAGTTTCCACCAAATTTTTGTAAACATGTTCTTTTGAGGGTTTGACCTAGATGTGTTTCTGGTAAAGTCCAGGAATTCAGTGTTCACCACAGTCACGTCTCACAAAAACGGTTTATCACAAGAATAAACCCGTCTAATTAACCATAAAAGCAGGGAGAACCGAGGAAACATCCGACTGTTCAGATACTGCTGATGCTACGAGCAGGAAGGGATCAGCCGTCGTCGGGCTGACAATTAAAAAGCTGCAAGTCCTTTATACCACAGCCCTGGTATTTCCTCTTTCTTTAAAAGTGAAGGTGGCTGTGGTAACAGGAGACATGTAGGGCTTTACACGCTGATTGCAACTCTCTCTGTTTTCAATTACACGATCCTCAAGAACAGGAAAACACCCAAAAAGTCTTGAGTGATGAGGTACTCTTTCTCAGATTAACCAATAAATGTGATTAGCCACTTGCTGGAATGAACGAGACATGGTTTCAAATGTACAAACCATTTTACATTGAGCTGTGGTGCTCATGCGACCAATGCAAGTTCAAATCCGGCTTGCAACATTTCCAATTCCCATTTCACCTTAAAGGTTCCTGAACATTTCCTGTCCTTATTATACTCTCTTCTTAATAAAAGTGGTAAAAATTTCAATACGCAATACAAACCTGTGAAGCAGAAGGCCCTTTATGACTCCGCAGATGGCTTTTGGGTGGCATGTGGAAAAAATCAGCCACATATGATGTGAAACACACCGTGTAAAGAGATCCACGTTCTCTGGTTTGAGTTACGCCCCACGGCACACGTAATATGGTTTCATAATAAAAACACCCATGAGAGAGCCAGGTTATGGCAACATATGATGAATCATTATGGGCCCTGACTGAAATGTGTACGTGTGCGTTTTATTATGGGACATGTGGCCATGCCGAGCGAGCCTGGGGAAATGTGTCTTACCATGTGATAGTTGACGATTTCCTGAAGGCTCTCTCCACACTTTTCAAGACATTCCTGAAATGAAGCAAATAACCGAAAAATCAACACAGCTCATGAGGGTCTGACTATTACCTGAGTCATTTGACTCGGATCATTTAGAAATAAATACTTGTCTGGGAAACTTACTGAGATCATCTCCTCCTTTTTGCAGTGGTGAGACAAGTCTCGAATGCCATTGACGAAGAGTTTATTAGCACTGACGTACACACGACCCGCTTCGATCATACCACTGCATAACTTCACCAGCTGATGGACAGAAACAGAAAACAGAAAACACTGTTTATAGTTGTCAAAAAATTTATTTCGCTGCCAAAACTTTGGCCATGACTGTAGAACACACATTTTTCTAACTTTGCGTACGTACTCTGTATGCTCAGATCACACATGTGCTTATTGCTAAGTGTTTGTGCCATTTCTTTATTTCTTCAACAATCAAAAAACTGGAGGGCGTGAATTGATTTTATCATTCGGGAATCGGCTTCATTGTGATAAGTGGTCATTTGGGTCTATTCTTTTAATGCCAACACATAATTGCTTTAGCTATCAAACAAAAACACTAACACGTTTTTATATATAAGGTTGAAATGAAGTTAATATAGTATCATCATGGTTCGTCACTGATTCGGTTTTGGGATGATACCATTGAATACAAACAGTTAAAGCTCCCCTGTGGTGAAAATAAAGCTTTTAATGTTGTTTATATGTCTATGTGGTGTTTTTAATATGCTTTAAGACAAACCATGTGCAAATTCATAAGTCGACAGCATTGCTGAGTATTTTCTCTTTAAAACTGCAGTGAATCAAAGACAGTCTCAAAAACGCAGTTTGAAATCGCTGGTGTTTCTGATGTCACACACTACCTTGTACATTTCTTAAATCATATTAAATACCTTATCTGACCGTTATCAGTTTGTAGCAGTAAATGAAGAGATGTCTTATTGATCACAAGTTCAGTATGGCGTACCACAAGGCTCAGTACTAGGACCGCTGCTGTTCACTCTGTACATGCTACCATTAGGAGATATAATTAGGAAACATGGAATTAACTTTCACTGTTATGCCGAAGATACTCAGCTGTATATTTACTCATAAAAGTTGTGTTCATCTGTGATAATTATCTTGATGGACAAAGCGTGCAAGTATCATAAACTTTTGTTGATCACACAGCTTGTTTTTAGCGATAATCCAAAAGCCTATGGAAAATCCTTATGGGTTTGTGTCGAGGCAACCAGTGTGATGCTAACAGACGTTTGGCCTACAAAGTGACGTCATAACTGCACCGTACTCTATTCTCTCCTCCATATTCTTCTTTTTCACAGACAACTTGGATCGCAAGCTTTCTGAGGGCTACAATTTTTAACAAGGAGAAATCCAGTCTTGGATGATCTACTCAACTGCATCACTTATCACGTGTGTTTGGTTGTAAAACATGTAGACCAGACAGAGTTGTCTGCGATGCTTCCTCTTAAAATATTGTGCAATGTGTGACCCCGTCGCCGATACGTTGTGTAACGTGCACACAACAGCAACTAAATGCTACCCCAGGCAGTCGTGTAGAGTCAGGAGAACAGCGATACGACAACTTTGAAAATAATGCAGTGTGTTCCCGGCATTAGCATGCTAAAAGTCTCACAGTGATTGTTAGCATGCTAAGATGCTTTGAGAAGATTCAGCCATCAAAACAGCTCTTTTGTAATAGGCGAAATGAAAGGCCTTCAACAATGCTATTCTATATTGTCAATAAAATGTTATTTAGCCTGTTTATTTGTTGAATATTTGTCTGTCGTAGGGCTGTGTGATCTTGCATTTAGTTTGCATTACATTTAATAGTGTATGTACACACACAGACTAGCCTCTTTGGTCTAGCTTTTATTTGAGCATCTTACACACTTAATTCAAACTCTGGAGCTTATCATATTGCAAAAAACTTGCAATAATAAGCAGACGTTGCCCTTGTATGCAGATTTGGACGCTTCTAATAATACCCTGAAGCAGTCGAGAGCCACAAGAATGCAGTTTCCTGATGCAAATGTTCAGCATCCTAATGCTAAATAGGTTTCTTTCTCAATCTCCATTAATCCTGTATGGCGTACGAGCTGGGATTTAGCTCGGCGCACATTTGTTATTCTGTTTTATCCATGCACTAATGCGCTAGTCCTTCGTTAGCCAGGCCTCAAACCAACATCTCAATTAAATGAAGCAAAGACGCTGATCAAATGAAATGGAAGTTGAATGACAAACTATACACTATGCACTTAACCATCTAGTGTACTATGTGATATTTTTATGGTTATTTTGTCATCTGCAACAGTTGAGTGCATGAAGCGTTCAAAATGCCACACTTTGATTTTCGGGTTAAATAAGAGCATCGTCCAGGTATTTGAATTACAAATACCAGGGATTTTCAATGTGAACACAGTACATGCTCACACCATTTATACATCAAAATGGCACAGAATAGTGTATAAGTATGCGAATTGGGATACATCTGAACTTAATCTTTTTTTTTTTTAATCATGTTTTGAGAAATGATTGAGAAAGCAAGAAAGAGTATTGTAACGTGCATCAGAACTCTAGAGACATAAAGAGGCAGAACAACAAAAAATATAACATTAAAGAAATCCAATATAAATATGCAGTAAAAGTAAGATATATATATAAATCATAGAGTACATTCAGTCCAGTTCTTCAGCGACCATGTTCTCCACAAAACTTAAAAAAGGCTGCCAAATGGTAAAAAAAATAATCTCCAAGCTGATCCTTTCATAGAATATCAGATTGTTTGCAACTGTACATCATACATGACATCCTTAATACAAGGTCCATATGTTGGAGGGAAAGAGTCTTTCCATTTATACAAAATTAGCCTTCTGGCAAGAAGTGAACAAAAAATGATAACATCAGACTGGGATTTTCTAAATGTAATCCTGACTAATTAATCCATTGCAGTCGATATTGTTGGAGCAACACATTGATCAAACATTTTAGATCAAACCCCAGTAATTCAATATCTTCGGACATGACCAGAACATATGGAACAGAGTTGCTGGTGATTGATCTTGATTTCTTTCCCAATCTATCCTTAGACCAATTTTGAACTGGATAACCGCATGCCTGAGACTAACAGAGGATGAATGTATTCTTTGGATTGATTCATGCCATGTATCATCTGACATTTGTTCTTCCATTTCGTTTTCACACCAAGTTATTTCAAAAAGATTGCATACCTTATCTAGCTTGGCTTCTATTTCCACAACATCGGTCTCAACTTCATCGATATTCGCCCTGCAAAGACACAAGAAAAACACATTATTCATTAGATGATAGACTTATCACAGTCGTTTCTGATTGGTGATATCAAAGGACAGACAAAAAGTTTGGGGGGGATTCACGCTGACATTTTTACAACCTGAACTAACTAGCATGTCATAAAAAGACCTTATTTAAAAGTTGTTGTTTTTTCAAAGAAATTGTTTGCAGTAGTTTTGTTGAATTGTTTTGATTAATCGTTAAAAGATTGCGATCTCGATTCAGACACCCACCCGGGATAAAAGTTTATAGTTTGGATATAAACACTGATGTCTACGGTATTGATCAAAATGGAGCAAATCACCTTTTGAAAGTAACTTTGCGCTTCAAATAACGATTGTATCGATTACATCGTTGTGACTGTTCAAATATATTTGTCATTAAATCATTCATTCAAAAGATTAGTTCAAAAACGCTGATTCATCCAGTAATGAAACAAATATTTATGAGTCAGTCAATAAAACATTCATTCAAACCAATTTTTTAAAATATTAATTCTAATTATTTTTTTTTAAAATAGGCTGCAGCAATTAATATTTTGTCAGAACCTCTAGTAATTTAAGTTATTTTATTTAATTGTCTGTTAAGAATTGTAGGAGAATCATGAATCTCGCAGCTGTAGTTTGCAGTGAATTTCATAAATTTTTCTAACCACTATCAAAAGTCAAACTCAAAAACATAAATGTGTATATTCTAGTCTTAAAAAGGAGGATCTGTGAGGAGCGTGTGAAAAAACAATAGGATATTCACACCACATAACTATTTTGATGTATACATTTACATTTCAGTAAGTTGTGCTTTACTATTCCAATATTGGCATTACAATACAACTCTATTAATCCATAGTTTTTGAGTCACACATGACATTTTACAACCTGAACTAGAACTAACCTTGCAATAATGTAATAAAAAAAAAAAGAAAAATGTTACATTAAAAGATGATGCCAAGACATTTTTTAAAATTAAATTAAAATTAAAAATTAAATACATTTTTAAAGAAATATTTTTTGCTCATGATACCAGGACAGTTTTTACTTTTTGCCACCCAATATATAGCTAAATAAACTGTCTGACTGCACATTATTCTGCTGTTGCCCCTTTGACTTCAATGACCTACAGTTGATCCCCTATTTCTTCTCAATACAGACTGACAATAGAAAGACTTATCAATTCACGTCTTCACACTGCAGCGAGAATGCTCTGGGATTAGGTTACAACTTTATGAACATTAATTTCATAAATGCATGAAGACATATATCTAATCGCATGCTCACTAAAAGCATCCTAATCCAGTTTAGATTGCAGCTAAAAGCTATTGCTCTTAGTCAGCTCAGCTCAGTTGGTGAATATTTGAAGAAACACTGTTGAGGTTTTCATGAGAGTCCCTCCGCAGCTCATCCTCACACACAGCATGCTCTGTTACTTAGATTTATCACATCAGCAACTCAAGCAGGGCCGAGAGGAGTCCAAGCATGAAACATATGTGTGGCTCTGCATGCAACCTTGCACATATATCCGTGACATCCCACCTGATAATCGTTCTAGACTATGGTATATATATCAAAGCATCATGGTATTACAGGCACTGTACTGCAGTGCTTTTTTGTAATAAATTTCACCCATTTATTAGGAAAAATCTATTTAACCACTGCTAAAACTTGTCATCAAAAACACACAAAAAACAAACATATTTTAAGTATATTTTAATCTAAAAATGTAGGATCTTTGAGGAAGTATAAACAAAACTTTGCTTTACTATTCTACTTTTGCATAACAACAAATTTTGATTTGATCGAGCTTATTCTACCGTAACCAGCTCTCAGAAGGTCAGCTTTCATTGGCCAAGGACCGCCCAGACTGACATGTAAAGCAACCAATCACAGTTCGTTTTGTTACACGTCGTCATGTTTAGGGGCGTGAAAATATAAAAGGCCATGTCCCTACAATAGAGAGCCTAAGCCCCTCCCCTTCCGGTCGACCACCATGGGACCTTATTTCGGAAAAATATTGTATGGTAGTCAATGGCGAGAGACAACAAATATTTTGATCTCGTTTGAATTGTGGCCTGAATTACACACATGATGTTTGTCAATTTAAAAGATACATTTTAAAGTCAAGAAAGTCGCAGTTTGATGTAAAACTGTTGAGGTATAAGACTGCGGAAATACGTAATTACGAAGACTACAAACCCAGAAGGCACACATTTCCTCTCAATGAATGAAGCTAACTTTACTGAAGCTAACTTTACTGAAGCTAACTTTACTGAAGCTAACTTTACTGATGCTAACTTTACTGAAGCTAACTTTACTGAAGCTAACTTTACTGAAGCTAACTTTACTGAAGCTAACTTTACTGATGCTAACTTTACTGAAGCTAACTTTACTGAAGCTAACTTTACTGAAGCTAACTTTACTGATGCTAACTTTACTGAAGCTAACTTTACTGATGCTAACTTTACTGATGCTAACTTTACTGAAGCTAACTTTACTGAAGCTAACTTTACCGAAGCTAACTTTACTGAAGCTAGGGGTTTAGTTACCCTTTAACAGCAGAATTCGTGGTTTAAAAAAAACTACATTATCCATGATGCTGTACGGAAAATTCCACCAACCAGAGAGTAGAAAAAAACAAAACACAAATGGTGAATAATTTGAACATCTGTGACACTTATCAGCCGCTTAACTTTCCACCACTTTCTACCATACAAATCATAGTAAAGCAAGTCACGGTTTATTGCTTCATTACATATAACAGCCTGAACAAAAACTAAACAAAAACACCCATTTGTCTGGATATGCCTCTTCTGGGTATTTTGATTATCTTCTGCTTTGGAAGATATTGTCACTTTGTACACCTTGGAAAAAACGTGATGCCAGCCTCTAACCGTTTATGCCATCTCTGGCCACAGGACAGTTTCTGTCCCTAATGCAGCCCGGCTTCCAGGGACCACACAACCATTAGACAAAAACACACCCACACGCTGAACAAACACTTAAAAAAATGAAGGACCAGAGACATAAAGGTCAGTTGTCATGGCAACCGCTAAGTGGGATACAGAGGTCGCAGTGGGGGACATCTGCTCTGCTTGTGTTGGGGGTCCTAACAAGACATATTGTTATAGGGTTATGAGCAATCAATACCACGCACACACACACCGTCATCTCGGATGCAGTCATTAGCCTTCTGGGACAGAGTGTTGACCAGTTTTAAGTTATTTTAAACTAAAGACTTTAAACAGGAAAGGTCAGCTCTAACTGGTTGAGACCAGTCCTGGAATGGACTGACAACTGTGACACAATGCAAATGTTTTGTTTCTACTGAGGAGAGAATTGGGGTCAATGACAGAAGCAGGATCTTTATTTTTAATATTTTTAAATACAATCAAAATAAAACACTTTTGTTACTTGAAATAAAACACATAAAATAACATTTTATAAAATTAAATAACTAAAAACTGAAACAAAATGAATAAATATTATATTAAGTTGAACTATTAACTATATATTTACTATATATATTAACTCATTAGGTCCTCGTTTGGTCTTGTATACATTCTCCCTGTGTTCCTGAGTTCATATGTCCTGTCTACGTCTACACTGAAGTGTTGTGAAGTCGGTTTAGTGAGTGAGTTTGGATTAAAGACTGATTTATTCATCTTCGTGAGCTTTATACCAATACAACACGTGACATTTGGTGCGAATTACTGTCACGGTTCATGGATTCATGGACTCTCTCTCGCTATGTGTGTGCGTGCTGTGTGAATGGGCGTGGCTCGTCAGCTGGCTCGTTCCACTGATGAGCCGATCAGCGCCAGCTGTTCTGAATGAGGATGTCCTATATATTGTTTGCTCACTCGTCTTGTCTCTGTCAGATGGTTGTGGAGGTTCTCCTGGGTCTGAGCCTGTTCCCCTGTTCCTGTCCTGCTTCTTCGACGCTTCCATAGGATCTTCTCCACGTTGGATCTGCATTCCGCCCGCTGAGTCCCTGCGTTGCCTAGTCTGCCCGAGCGTGTTCTGTGTTCACCTGAGGATTCTGCCACTTCATTCCCTGAGTCTGCCGAGGATCATCGATCACCTCCATTCTGAGTTTGTCTATATGAGAACTGTAACCTATTCGTTCAGTACGATCCTTGTGGATGCTACCTGTCGAATTGAGTCTCTTGTCTTCTCTTTTGACAAATAAATACTTGTTCACTCGCATCTGAATCCTTGACTATCTTTCAGTGATCCATGACAGAACCATCTGACCACCATCTCATGGATTCAGCGAGTGACCCCGGGATCGAACAGATGTTCGCCGGAAGCCACGCCCGGATGGATCGCCAGGACGAGCAGATCGGAGCTTCGGGACGGGCGATACAGGCTTTGGTAACGCAGGTGTCCGAGCTCACCTCTCAAATTCAACGCCTGAGAGTTCCCACTGCGCCGGCACCGCCCCCGCCTGTTCCCCAAGGGATTTTCCAGCAACCAGAGCCGCGTGCCCTCGCACCAGAACCGCGCATCCCAGCACCTGAGAGGTATTCGGGCGAGCCCAATCTGTGCAGAACGTTCCTGACTAAGTGCTCTATTTTTTTCTCACTTCAGCCAATGACATTTGCGTCTGAGGAGTCGAAGGTAGCCCTGGTGATGACACTACTTTCTGGCCGCGCGGCTCAGTGGGGAACAGCGGTGTGGCAGAACAGACATCAGTGCTGCTCCTCGTTCCAGGCACTCGAGCTAGAGATGACACGAGTGTTTGACCGCGCCGTCGCTGGACGCGAGGCTGCCCGCCAACTCGCTGACCTTCGCCAGAACCAACTGTCAGTCTCTGACTATTCCATAGAGTTCCGGACATTGGCGGCCGAGTGCAAGTGGAACGAGGAGGCGCAGTGGGACATGTTCCTGCATGGGCTGGCTGACCGCGTTCAGAGGGAGATTTATACCCTGGAGCTGCCCAAGACACTGGATGGACTAATCGAGTTAGCATTACGAGTCGAT